GGGAAACAGAAAGACAGGCTAAGAGACTGAGGATCAGATCCCAGCCCTCCCCACCCCCGCCCCTCTGGGAGCCTGCTTCCCAGCCTGTGAAGTCGGAGAGGCGGCTCAGCCAGGCCTCTAAGGCCAAGTAAACGGGTGCCGTGATACACCCACAGGGGCTCGCAGCCAGCCTCTCCACCACAGCTGAACCCACACGCGACTTCGTTTTCTGTTCTGAGTCTCAAGTTCTCATCTTTAAATGGGACCATCCTAGCCTCGTAGCCTGATGTTCTCAGGGTCGCTGTAAGGCTTCAGAAAGCTCTTCAAACGGTGTCTATAAAAACCAAACAAGCCAAAAATACCTCAGCTGCCATCAAATGGATTATGGCTGATGGCGACCCTATAGGGCAGTGTGCAACTGGCCCTTTGCGTGTCAAGGCTGCCCGTCTTTACTGGAACACAAAGCCCCTTCCTCCTTCCACAGAGCAGCTAGAGGTTCAAACTGCGGAGCCTGTGGTTCCAGCCCACCCCCCACCCTCGAGTAACCCCCTGGGGTACCAGGGCTCCTGAAGAGCCTCTGGGGTCTCTCCACATCCAGATATAACTGTTGCTCATCCGAGACCTTTCCGGTCCTGAGATGTCCTTCTTCTCTACAATGACACAGGAAGATCCAAAAACAACAGACTTCCATAAGGCAGTGCGTCTCAACCTTCCTAATGCCTCAACCCTTACATACAGTTCCTCATGTTGTGGTGCCCGCCCCCCCCCAACCGTAAAATTATTTTCATTGCTACTTCATCACTGTCATTTTGCTACTGTTATGAATCGGGCGACCCCTGTGAAAGAGTCGTTCGACCCCCAATTTGAAACCCACAGGTAAGCGCTGAATTAAGGGATGAAGCAGGGGCTTGGAAGGGTACTTCTGAATTCCCTTCCAGCCCTGGGAGGCTTCACACTGGGAGCTAGGCCTGTGTTGCCCGCCGCCTGCTGGCAGCATCTGGGATTGCCACCTGGACTCTGGATGCCACAAGTAGCTCCTGGTTCCAAGGGTCAAGAGAGGGGTTTATCACTGCTTCTAAGACAGCATGTTTGGATAGATCATCCCTCTCCCTTTGACACTTGAACCAGATGTAGTGCACATTTACTGTTTGCCTGACAAAGTGTTTCCTTTTATGAGCTCATGTCATCAACCTGGCTGTTCCTGGGGAACTAGAGACTTGAGCAGTTTGAGTGTCAAGGCCAAGGTCACACAGCTTGGACCAGGGTCATCTCATGGTGGTAGGCTGAGTTATAACCTCCCACAGGTGCTCTGGAACCTGTGGGTGTGTTACCTTGCACGTTGAAGAGGGACCCTTTAGACATAGGAGAAGGTAAGGAAGGCACGGATCTTGTGGTGGGGAGATCACCCTGGATGATATAGTTCGGCCTGATGCAATCCTAAGGGTTCATATACAGGGGAGGCGAGAGGGTCAGAATCTGCAGTAGGAAATGTGATAACAGAAGCAGGGAGTCGGCGTGACTGGGGAAAGGCCCATCACCAAAGAAGGGAGGTGGTCTCTAGAGGTTGAAAAGGGCCAGGGAAAGGATTCTCCCCTGAAGCCGCCTGAGCATCGGCAGCCTTGCGAATGCCCTGACTCTATATTTCTGGCTTCCAACCTCCCCGCACCACACACGCACCCCCAACATACCCAAAATTCACTGCCACCGAGCCAATGCCCGCTCATAACAACCTTGCAGGACGGACTAGCCCTGATGAGTCAGAGCAGACTCACTCACAATGTTTTGGCTGTTTTGTTTTAGAAATGTTACCAGTACTTGTGCTTTATTCACTCCGTGCCAAGGTATTGGCCGGCATAGTTCCTAATCAACTTTGGATAACACTGTGAAGAACGGGAGTCCCAGTATGTTTCCTCGTACGCATGTGGAACCTGTCCAGAGACCAAGAGGGAGTCATTTAGACGCCAAGGGGACATCTTGTGGTGTACAATCAGGAACGCCGGGCATCAGGTGGCACCCTTGCACCATGCCTATTCAGTCTGTTTGCGGAGCAAATCCTCCTGAGAGGCCGGACTCTCTGAGAAGAACATGCCGTCAATATGGGAGGAAGGCTCGCTAAAAATCTGCAGTCTGCAGCTGACACAACCTTGCTTGTTCAACGCGAAGAGGACTTGAAGCACGGATTGATTCAGATCAAGGACTACATAAAGGAGACAAAAAAATTCTCAACACGGAGGCAATAAGCAACATCAGGATAAACAGAGAAAAGTTGATGCTGTTATTTTAATTGGATTAATAATCAATGCTCCTGGAAGCACCCATCAAAGAAGTAAAGCATGGATTATTGCTCCCAAAGATCTCTTTAAAAAGCTGAAAAGGGAAGATGTCACTTTGAAGACTAAGGTGTGCCTGCCCCTGCCCCCATATGAATGCAAAAGACAAGGTAAAGGAAGCCTGAATAAGAATGATGCCTTTGAATGGTGGCTTTGGTGAAGAATGTAAAATACACCACAGGACTGCCAGAAGAATAAGCAAATCTATTTGGGGGAAAGTGCAGGCAGAATGCTCCTTAGAAGGAGAACAGGAGACTTCCTGGCACGTACTTTGGACAATCCAGAGGAAGGACCCGTTCCCGGAGAAAAGCATTGTGCTTGGAAAGATAGAAGATCGGTGAAAAGAGGAGGCTCCTCAGCGTGATGGATGGCCACACGGCTGCCTGTGTTCAAACACAGGAAGGACCGTGAGGGCGGCCCAGGACTGGGCATTCTCTTGGACATGGGGTTGCTTTGCTAGGGATGCTGCTGGATTCACTCTATGACATTTTACAATAACCATCCTGCCAGAAGCGGACTGCGCGTCCTTCTCCGGAGCAGCAGCTGAGAGGTTCAAACCAACAACCTGTCCGTGAGCAGCTAAGCGCTTCACAGCTGCTCCTTTGACCTCCATCTAGAACTGTCAGAGAATCAATTTGTGCTGTTTGAAGTCACTACGTTTTTGGTCATTTGATACAGCGTAGTTAACTATACATCCACACAAAGAGAGCCCCCAGGTATGAAAATTTTTAATAAGTAATGAGTAATTTCTTTCTTTCTTTTCTTTCTTTCTTTCTTTTTTTTTTTTTTGGATAAAAGAAGGTCCAAATAGGGAGTCCTGGCGATACCATAGTTCCGTACTAGACTGCTAATCAAAAGGAGGCAGTTCAAACCCACCCAGTGGGTCTTTCGCCCCAAGGGAGAAAGACTAGGCGATCCATTTCCATGAAGATGTGTTAGGCAGATGGTCGGGGACTGGGGTGTCCATTGCACATGCTGACATTCAAGCTCCCAGCCAGGACAGCTGGGCTTAATTCAGCCAAGGGGGTTAACCAGCATTGTTGACCACGCCTCCCAACGAGGGGAGGGGGGTGTGGGGAGCAGGGGGGGGGGGTGCTGAAAAGCCAGAAGTTTTCTCTGCCAAGGGCTCTCTCCCAGCGGCTCACACACATCGCTCAGTGGGGCCGGCTACACAGCCTAGCATGGCTGGGCCACAGTCACGCGCAACCGTGGCTCAGACTGGCTTGTGATCCACTTACTGTAAAGCCTGAAACTGCTTCTAACCTGTGTAAAACTCACTTGGGTCACAAACCAGGCTTCGGCGTGAATTCTTTCTCGAGAGAAGCCAAGGACCAAGGAATATCTCCCATGAGAGAGATCTAACAGACGCAGCCAAGAAAATGCTATGAGGTCGTGCTGCTCTGTCACACATGCCTGCTGCGAGCTGGCATCCAAGGTCAGGCCCAAAATGCTGCTGGAACACACTTATACAAAAAAAAAAAAAAAAAGTTTCTCTGCCATCCAAATTTAACTGGGCAGTTTGTGTTTTATCTGTGCCCTCGCAGGCGGGGAGCAAGGTCGCCTGCCGCCCCAGAAAGACTCCAATAGTGAGGCCGCCTGGTGGGGTTCTCACCTCAGGGAGCCCAAGAGGCTGTTTACAGTTTTCTCTTGGATAGGCCTTTGGGCTGAGTTCTTCAGACCACCCGAAAGACTGGCCTACATTAGGGTCACAGGTGTTGGAAGTGGGGGCTGGTAAAGCCTTCTTCAAGTCACCACTGTCTGGAACGTCGTCACTAACTCCAGAGCAGGAAAAGATCGGTCCCTGACTCAGGATTCCAGAGCGGGAATAATGTGACAAATGAGGAACGTCACTCGCTAAGGATGGGCGCATGTTCATCGAAGTAGAGGGCTGTGAATCCCTTTGACGCTCTTTACTTCGTCGCCGGCCAGTTTCCCTTTCATAAACGATGAGAAGTACTGAGATAATAGATGGAAAACGCTAAATAGTATGTTCTCGGAAACGGGAGCTGTTTTCCTTTCTTCCTCGGGACCTCAGTTTCCCCATCTTTAAATCCCGCTGTTGGCGCTCCCCGCTGGTCCCCAGCGTCCTCTCGGGAGCCGGCCGCTAGGTGGAGACAGAGCGCCGTGGCTGCCGCTAGCTCTCGCACCTGCGCACTCCCGACGGGGCGCGCCGCCTTCCCATGTACGTCACTTCCGGCGCGGGGGCCGGGCCGGGCCGGGAAAAGAGTGCGGGTCGGTTCTGCGCGTGCTGCCGGCCGAGGCTCCCGCTGCCGATTGACCCGCGCTCCGCCCCGTAGCCGGGCCGGTGAGTGCCCGCGAGCCCGTCCGCGAGTCCTGAGGGCCGAGGAGAGGAGTCCCCTGCAAGGGAGGGAGAACCGGAAGTGGGGCACCCGAGGAGCGCGAGACCCCAGGAAATGGGGACCCCTGGGGAGGGGGTGACAACCGGAAGTAGGGGTCTCACAAGGTTGCCCCACGGAATGTGGGGTCTCTGACCTCTGCTTGCTGGAGGGAGAGGGGGAAAGGGGCGGAGCTTGGCAACATTGTAGGGTCCAGATGAGGGAAGTGTATCTGCCAGCGGTTCCTCCCCAAGGAATTCCCAGTCTCCCCTAACAAAAGGACGGTCCGTCGGATCCTCCCCAGACTCTGACAGCCCTGGTGTCCGCAGGACACTGGCGAGGTCGAGGTTACGTGGCCGGTGCGGAGGCAGACAGCGCCGGGCACACCAGCCAGCCTTTCTCCCGCAGATGTCTCCTGAGGGCCAGGCAAGCCCCCCACCATCATGGGCTTGCCATTCTAGTGGACAGTTTTCGCCTTCGTCAAACGGGCAGTGTTTCCTTCTGCTGCCCTGGGGGTCGCTGGGAGTCAGAACGCACTCGAAGAGGCACCGGGCCAGACCAAAAACGGTGACGATTAAACGACAGAACGGATGTCCAGTGCTTAGCGCTGTGTTTGATCCGTAGTAAAATGCTCAGGTACCAGGTGAACCCCCTGTTACCAACGCATGCCGATCCTGCGTCTCAGTGACGCGTTTCCAAGGCTGTAAATCTTTGGAAGTAGACTGCCACGTCTTTCTCCCTGAGGAGCGACTAGTGGGTCCCACCTGGTGGTGAGCAGCCCAGTGCTGACCCTGGGGCTCCTAAGTAACCCATCTTATCCTCCCACTGTGACGGAAGTGGTCCCCGTGTTGTGTAAATGGCTTGCATTCAACAAATCTTAAGAGTGGACCCAGCCAGTGGGGCCATGCAGCCAAGAAAACACTATGTATGTATCTAGGAGTCTCACTCTAATTAATGCTCAGGGTAGTCCTGAATAGGATAGGGGATGATGTAAGCTCATCAAAGAAAAGAATTGTGCCCTTTGCCGTGCTGCCCCCAGCACCTGTGGATCATCCGTGATCATAGGATGAATGCCTGGTGAGATTGACTGAGGAATTCCCTATAAACACACAGGACACTGGGCTGCCATTTCTAAGAGAGCCATAGGACCCCAGCTCTGAGGGAACCAGGGGATGAAGGGAATTCCCCCGTGGAGGCTGCATTGCCTGGTTGAGAAACAGGACAGGAAATTCCCAAGGGAAAGCAAGTGAGGGATTCCCAGTCTACAGGTATCAGTTTGAACTGAAACTGAAGAGCTATTGAGCAGAAGAGATAGGAGATAAGGCAGAAGAGGGGCTTGGAGGCTGGGCCTGGAATGACCTGTCATGCTGGTTTCCAGGCCTCAGTGGTCAACTTCCAGGGAAAGGCTCGTGAGCATAGCTCTGCCCATTCAGGAAGACACACTCAACAAGTATTTGTGGCGTGCTTAGGATATGTCTGACATCCTGTCAGGTGCCAGGGCTAGAGTGATGGAGGAACAGGCAGGGGCACGCCCAATAGAGGAAGTCGTTGCTGGTATGCAAAGAGACTTAGAGGCTCTGTGTGGGCAGCGTTTAGCTTGCCCAGGGGGCCACAGAAGACTCCTGGATTAGTGCCAGAATGTCTAGATCCCTGGTTCTCAACCGTCCTAATGCCTTGACCCCTTAATACAGTTCCTCATGTTGTGACGCCCAGCCATAAAATTATTTTCGTTACTACTTCATAACTGTCATTTTGCTACTGTTATGAGTCATGTAAATATCTGATATGCAGGATGTATTTTCATTGTTACAAATTGAACATAATTAAATCACAGTGATTCATCACAAAACAATGTAATTATGTGAAGTATTTATGTGTTTTCTGATGGTCTTAGGCGAACCCTGTGAAAGGGTCATTCACCCACAAAGGGGTCGAGACCCACAGGTTGAGAAGCGCTGATCTAGATCATCTCCCTCTCCACCCCTTGGATTCCTTCTCCAGAAAGCAGTCCGAGCGATCCTTTTAAAATACAAATCAGCAGTAACACCACTTTTATTTATTTATATAAATAATTTTATTAGGGGGCTCTTACAGCAAGGTAATGCCACTCTTCAATAAAATAGAAATCAAACCCTATCAGTGCTCAAAATCCTCCAGTGCTCCCAGCTCACTGGAAGGAAGTCACAGTGTGAGTCTGTGTGTCGGGGTGGGCACATGTCTGCATTCGTCAGCTACGGTTCTCTGCCTCCCTCGCTAAACCCTAGCCACACAGGCCTCCTCAATTTTCCTCAAAAACGCCAGGCCTGCCCCTAGCTCAAGGAGCCGGGGTGGTGTAGTGGTGACACTTCGTTGCTAACTTCAAGGTGAGCAGTTTGAAACCAGCAGCCATTCCTCAGGAGAGAGAAAAGACTTCCTATTCCGCTGGAAAGCTGGTCTCGAAAGCTCACCGGGCATTCCTGTCCTGCCCTTCCAGGGTCCCTACGAGCTGAATCAACTCAGTGGCAGCGCCTTTATTCTTTTTTGGTTGGTTGGTTGCTTCCTAGCTCAGGCTTGACACGTGCTTTTCTCCAGATGTCTGCAAGGGTTGCCCCCTTGCTTCCTTCAGGCCTCTGCCCAAATGCCACCTTGGCGAGGCCTTCCTTGCCCACCCAACTTATAAGTTGCAAGCTCCTTCGCGAGACCCACCCAGCCCCCTTCCCTGCTTGCACGGACACACCACCTTCCTATAGGCCATCCGCTCCCTCTGGGAGTAGTCTGGGGTCCCCACTAGGGCAGTTTTTGTTTGTTCATTCATTTATCCCCATACCTGGCAGTGGCCTGGCACATAACAAGGGCTCTGTAGCCTGATGGGGACCGGGACCCATGACAAAGGGGTAGCAACAGGATGTGTCAGGAAGAGCATGCTTTTGGGAGGAGGTGAAAGAATTGGGATGGGCTGGAGGCTACAAGGAAGGGAGAGGGTAGACTCAGACTGAGGCGGCGTGGCCTGGGCACTCCATGCAGCTGCGGTGAGCTGGGGAGGTCAGGTACATGTTGTCTGGACCCCAGAATATGTACAGAGATCCCCAAGATGACCCCTGCTCTCTCAGCAGAGTGTAGAATGGAGGATCAGTGACAGCCCAGCTGGGGGACAAGCACTCCCGCCGGGATGCGCATCCCTGCAGCCACCTCTTCCCTGGAAGCTCTGAGGCAGCGCTTTGGGTTTTACTTTCCAGTGTAATAAATGTGCTAGTGCAGCTTCCTCAAGAAGCAGACACCAGATGAGATTAGACATGCATGACCCTTGCTGGAGGGAATGCCTGTGCAGGCCCTACAAGAGGGGAGCTGGAGAAGCGGTGAGAGGGGGGTCCTCCGGTGAAGGAGGCCCTGGCAGGAAGAGGCTGGGGCTGCAGTATGGTTTCCTAGTTTCCAGGCAGCGCAGCCAGGGAGATGCCTGAGTTTCACTGGGTCCCCAGCTGAAAGTATCAGTAAAACCGGTGGGGTGGTAGGGTGTGCACCCAAGAGATGACAGCTGGTACCACCTGCCAACCCTGCCCCCTTGCCCCTCCCCCCACCAAACAAAAGGAGGTCCTCGGCAGCACAGTTCCGTGGCTGCTGCAGTCACACATGTACGTGGTACAAATGCAGACCAAAGTCGAAACCTAATTCACTGCCATTGAGTTGATTCTGCCTGATGACCACCCAGCAGGACAGGGGCGAACTACTCATGTCAGTTTCTGAGACTACCCTTTTAAAAAAAATTCTTTGATAGCTCTATTGGCGTATAATTCATACACAATCGTTCACTTGTATTCAGAAGAGTTGTACAGTCATCACTCCAATCATGTACTCAGCTTTTAGCGCCCCGTTTCCCTCCACCCTCCCCTGCTCTGCCCCTAAGAAACCGCTAATCTAATCACTGTGCCTAGAGATTTACCTATCTGAGACGGTAATTCTTTTCAGGAGTAGAACAGCACGTCTATCTCCCCAAAATGCAGACAGCACAGTTCCAAGGTCAAGTCTCTTCCCCACTGTAACGGTCCAGTCGGCCAGCGTGGTTACCTAGCACTAGCCACTAGTGACGGTTCCCTTCTTCTGTTTCACTATTGCTTTTTTGTTGTGCTCCTTGATAAAATACAAAGTGGAACTGACCCCAGCTCACCAGTTTCTCAATCTGAGCATCAGCCCCATTGGTGGCATCCTTCGAGTTGTGCAACTGTGTGTCACCTCCCTTTTCAGAGATGTCCCTCCCCTGGGCATGGACACACGGGCCCTGCAGGGCCCTTTACAATTCCCCAAGTTACTGTTGTCAAGCTGTCCCTATAGAGCTAGATCTTAAAGCAGCACTCTGCCCAAGGCAGACATTCTGCCCTAATGAAGCTAACCTCTCGTTTGGTTATAGGAAAGTACAGGGGATATTTGTGATTTAGGTTTAAAGATGATCTCGGGAATAGTTTTGTTTTAATTTTTTTGGGGGGGCGGGGAATGTTCCTCCAGCCTTTATGGCTCCAGAAAGTCCGGATTCCATGAGGATTTGGAATTCTGTTGTGCATTTGCTGCCTTTTGATCAGGATTCTGCTGTAGAATCTTTGGTTAAAATGTACAGTGACAGGAGCCAGGCACCTTGCAGTTCTTGTGGTCTCACAAGGTCGTTGTTTGTGGAGAGTTACCCACACGTTTCATTTCCTCCTCTGAGTCCAGATTCTCCCCTTCCTCTGTTGCTTCAGGGAAGGAAAGACCAGTCGTTGGACTTGAGGCTAAGAGTTTCTTGTATCCCCTTTCAGAAGTTTTCTTCGCACTGGTGTGTGTGTGTGTGTGTGTGTGTGTGTGTGTGTGTGTGTGTGTGTGTGTAAAACATAAACACTAGTGGTGGCAGTTGCATAATTAGTGTCACTGGCTTCTAGATGGTAAAAAACAGTTTAAGTTGCAGATGAATGGTAGATGTCCGTTTACCACAATAAAAGTAAAATCACCTGTGCTTATTTTTTTTTCATGCAATCTGCTTTCCTTCTCCTTCCTTAGCATGTTATCTCATAAGGATCGGCCTGATGCCTTTTCATGACTGAATAGTATTCTACTCGCCTGCCATTCTCTTTTCACCAGGTTCCTACTGATAAGCAGGTGTTTCTTGTTCCGTTGTAACCAGTACTGTGATAATGGTCCCGTGTGTGTATTTCACGCCTGTGAGGATCAGTCACAGAACCTTGCTGCCGAGGGTTCCAGTTCATACATGCATGCTTCTCTCCATGTCTCTGCCGTCAGTGGGGGCGGCAGGCGGGTCCATACCCCTGACTCAGCCTCCTTAGAGGGCCCTCAAGACTAAAGGCCAATCAAGACAGGGCCTTCCCAGGGGATCTGCTCAGCCAGTTGAATTCAAGACAGAGACATCCGCTCAGAAGGTCGTGGCACCTGTTTCTGAGATTCTACAGGGGGTAAGATGGACAGATTTTTCTCAAAGGACACCGGGAAATCAAGAGGGCTTGTGAAGAAGGTGTTTTCAGAAATGTGAAAGCTTCATTTGTAAGAAAAAGTCCAGGAAAGCTGAGGAATGTCTCCCCCACCACCACCATTCTTTGAGAATAGTAAGCGCCATCCCAGGAGAATTTTGTTGGGAAACTTGACCCTTCACCGTGCCCTTCCAGACTTCCTTTTCTATCCCCAACTCAAAGAACATCTCAAAGGGCCATGATTTGAGCCCCTGGAGGCTGCAAACTTGTTTGGTTGTTTGTTTTTTGAGGTCTAGTAGTGTAACGTTAACAACAAACAAGTAAAATGCAGCAGCAGCAGCTCATTAACAACTGGTAACATACATGAGCTTGAAAAACAATGTCACTACTGGATGGGGGGCCATGCTTTATTACCAGGGACGGTCACCCCACAAATGGCCCTTGTGACAGGCTGCACATTGAAGAAGGCAGAATTCTTCTGGGAGGTCTTGGGGGAAATGGAAGTACCGCCCTCAGACAGTCTGTCGACCTGGGTGGGGGCCTTTTGGAGAAGCAATCCCTTTTTAAAAAATGTTTTAAGAAAGGTTTCTATGGTTTTATCACAATACTTTTCATCGTGCCCTTGTCTATTCAAGTACATGCCCTGGAAATGAAATTGCTGGGTCAAAGGGTATACGGTTTTAAATGGATATTGGATATCTATTGAAATATCAGATATTGCCAGCCAGGGTGTGATGGAGCAATGACGAAGAATGCAACTTTCCTCTAGTTCCTAAATGTTTCCTCCCTGCCCCCACTATCATGATCCGAATTCTACCTTGCAAGTCTGGCTAGACCAGAGGATGTACACTGTTACAGACAGGAACTGGAAATCCAGGGAATCCAGGGTGGATGATCCCGACAGGACCAGTGGTGTGAGTGGCGATACTGGGAGGGTAGAGGGAGAGTGGGTTGGAAAGAGGGAACCGATTACCAGGAACTATATGTGACCTCCTCCCTGGGGGACGGACAACAGAAAAGTGGGTGAAGGGAGACGTCGGACAGGGCAAGATATGACAAAATAATAATTTATAAATTATCAAGGGCTCATGAGGGAGGGGGGAGCGGGGAGGGAGGGGGAAAATGAGGACCTGATGCCGGAGGCTTAAGCGGAGAGCAAATGTCTTGAGAATGACGAGGGCAAGAATGTACAAATGCACTTTACACACAATTGATGTATGGATGGATTGTGATGAGTTGTATGAACCCCTAATAAAATGATAAAAAAAGAAATATCAGCTATTGGCAAATTGCCCTCCCAAGAGACTATATCAATGACCCCTCCCACTGACAGTGAGCACAGCAGCAACCTGAATTGTTTGGTTGTTTGTGCGGTTGATTTTGTTTTGTTTAGCCAGTTTGAACCTCAAAGGTTGTTTTAATTTGCATGTATTTAATTCCCCGGGAGGCTGAGCAGCTGGCCATGTATTTATAAGGCAGGCAGAGAGGGTGTCTGCCACCTTGTGGCGGCCCCAGGGGTGGCTCATAGTTCCCACCAGGTTCATCCCCCAGGCAGCGAACCCCTGAATGGCCTGACTTGGCCCTCTGGTCCCGCGGGGCCCAGCAGCTCGGGGCAGCGCTAACCTTGGCCTGGGGTTCTGTGTTGGCAGGCTCCTGGTAGCTCATGTCCGAGGACAGTGACTCCCCGCGGACCAGCCCCTCGGCCGCCTCGCTCTCGGAGAATGAGCCGGCCGCCGCGGCCCCCGGGTACGTGTGCTCGCTGAGCGCCGAGCTGGTCACCAAAGCCAGGGAGGAGCTGCAGGAGAAGCCCGAATGGCGGCTTCGGGACGCGCAGGCCCTTCGGGACATGGTGCGGAAGGAGTGCCCCGGCCTGAGCACCGCCCTGGACGACGCCTTCCTGCTGCGCTTCCTGCGGGCCCGCAAGTTTGACTACGACCGGGCCCTGCAGCTCCTGGTCAACTACCACGGCTGCCGGAGGAGCTGGCCCGAGGTCTTCACCAACCTGAGGCCATCGGCCTTGAAAGATGCCCTGGCCTCCGGCTTCCTCACGGTGCTGCCCCACACCGACCCCCGCGGCTGCCACATCCTCTGCCTCCGCCCAGGTAAGGCTCGTAGCTCACAGGTGGGTTCCAGCCAAAAGGGAATCCACCCCCAGACCCAGCGCAAGTATGGCTGCCAGGACCCCTGCGAGACAGCTGGTTGGGGGACAGAGCGCAGTGAAAGTGGGGGCACCAGTAAAGCTGTCCACCACCTGTCAGTGTTAAGACACTGAAAGGGCTTCACCTCAGCCGCCCTTTTTCGTTTTCATTATTTGGAGCATACACTTGGTTTCTGTGGTGGCCTCTTCCCAGACTCTTCCCTGGAGTAGAAAGCCTTATCCTTGTGCCTCAGCTGTCTGCTCGGGTGCCTCCAGCCCGTTCTAGTTAGGAAGAGACAGCTGTTCAGAGGGAGGAGCTGACCTGCCCATGATCACACAGCTAGTAGACTCAAATCCAGGTGCGTCTCCACCTCAGCTCGAGGTTGCATGCCTGACTACGCATGTACTGTGTTCAGAGTCAGACAGACATGCTGTTGCTGCTGTCATCAGACGCTGGTGAGCCGGTTCCAACTCCCAGACTATATGCAAGTACTGTTTAAGTGTTACATTTAATCAGTGGAATCCTGGCCCCGGAATCCCTTACTTGGCCACTGTAGACCACCGTTTTGGCAAGGAGGACCATTTGGGCCCGTCTGATTATGTGTATGTCCTCACACCTGGAACACACTCCATCTCTCTCACGACTGCAGACAGGTGGATCCCGAGCAGTTACCCAATCACCGAGAACATCCGGGCCGTATACTTGACCTTAGAGAAGCTCATTCAGTCTGAAGAGACCCAGGTGAATGGCATTGTCATCCTCGCCGACTACAAGGGTGTGAGCTTGTCAAAGGCGTCCCACTTTGGCCCCTTCATAGCCAAGAAGGTGATTGGCATTCTCCAGGTATGGCCTGAGCCTGCTGTGTTGGGTCCAGGGTGGTGGTGGACTCCTCGGGGACCCACCTGTGTACTGCAGACATTGGGGCCAGCCCCACCGTCTACTCTCAGAATCAGAAAAATACAAAAGCCTTTGGGGAAGAACTTTTAGAAGTTCTGTGTATGCCTCATCCCTGCTAGGCACTCCTTGGTGTCTAAGGGGCGCCTGTCTGGGGAAGTCAGTGGCTGACAGAGCAGGGGCCTGCTTTCTGCACTTGCTGGAGTTTGCGTGTCCAGAGGGCGGAGGAGCTTTATCAAGCTACTGAGTCCTTCTGATGGCCCCTTTGGGCCTAGATTCCATTTGTGGCTGCTTAGTACTTAGCTTCATGGGGAAAGACGGGCTGTCTGCTCCTCTTACAGAGGTTCAGCCTGGGGAGCACGACGCAGGGCCCCAGTGGGTCGGGATCCACTCGGCACCAGCAGGTTTTCTAGTGGGCACATCCTTCTGATGGTGCTGCCCCAGACAGAAGAGCCACTTGCTGTGGGACCAGGGGGTGGGGGAGCTCCTGCAGTGGGGGGCAGGCTCCAGTCAGGTGCGCTCACACCTCCTGGCCCAGTTTCCAGAACACAGTGGGGGCACTCAGATCTGCTCAAATGGAAGTGCCTGGCGGCTACTCCGCACATCTGCAGTCACTGAAGTCCAGGTGGCGTGGCAGGTAGGCTGCTAACCCATCACAGGGAGAAAGATGAGGCTGTCTGCTCCTGTAAAGAGGTCCACGGGAGCAGTGCCCCTCTGTCTTGTAGGGCTGCTTTGAGGCAGAGTCCACTCGACGGCAGTGTGTCTGGTGTGTTGACAGCCCATTCTGTCCTGCCAGGAACCCTTGGAGGTGGCCAGGCCGAGTGCCTTTCCTTCTTGAGAGATGGGGAATCAGAGACCCACGAAGGCTATCACCTGGCTAAGGCCACTCAGCTGTGCAAGGGGCTGGAGCCTGACTTGGATTCCTGCTTCACTCTCACTGGTTCTGGTTAGCCGTGAGCACCAGCCACCCTAAAGGCCTCAGAGGCCTGCCACTCGTGTACTTGTGGGCTGTGATTGGAGGCCCCCCTTGAGTCACGAGCACAAGTCTGGATTTTGACAGAGGGGAGCCTCGGGCCTGGGGAGGTCCTAGCTTCAGGATCAGGCATTTGGATCAAGGCTGGCTTAGTCCTGCACAATGACAGGATGCTCTGGGGAGGAAAGGACTGGGATAAATAAAGGTTGAATAGATTTGGGAAATGGGGCTATTTCTAGGAGTCCTGAGGGTTAATTACATGTTAATTACATGTCAGGCTGCAATCTGCAAGGTCAGCAGTTTGACACTGCCAGCCCCTCAGAGCGGGAAAGGCAAGGTCTTCGGGGAGCGATTTACAGCCTCCTGGGACACTCACAGGGCAGTCCCAGGAGCCAGAACTGCCTTGCTGGTAGTGAGTTTGGCTTGGTGGCCTCTTCTTGTGGGTTGTCTAGTGACTGTTTACAGACAGGTAGCTCTGTGCATACGGTTGTGCAATGAGAGAAGCTCACTGGACTTCAGTCAGTTTCTTTCTCAGACTCATTCACCTGCCACCTAGTCCTGTTGGCATCACACCTGAGAACATCCTGAGGAATAAATACTCGGGGACTTCAGGCAGCTCTGACTCCGGTCTGCTGCTTACTGGATCCAACCACAGAGCTGCAGAGGAGCGTGGACGTACCTGACACTTCTCAACTGCCTCCGGGCCCCAAGAGATGTTTCCCCTGGGATGTGTCTTTCTCTTTAGCTCCCCTGGACCCTGTGGGACAGGGTAGGACTGCCCCATGTTAGTCCCAAGGTTATAAAGCTTCCTCCCTCAGCGTGTGCTCCATCTGAACCAGCACCCTGCCCTTTAGTGGCCAGGTGCTTTCAACGCAGCACCACCTTGTCAGCTCCGTCCAGGAGCCTACTGTCGGTGGGGGAGGCAGGCTGTGGGTAGGGCGGGCAGTTTGCTGCTGCAGCAGGTGGCCTAACGGCCCTTTCCCTTCCCCCACAGGATGGTTTCCCCATTCGGATAAAGGCCGTGCACGTGGTCAACGAGCCTCGCATATTTAAAGGTATCTTTGCCATCATCAAGCCATTCCTGAAGGAGAAAATAGCCAACAGAGTAAGTGACAGCCTTGTGGCCACAGACCCCTGGAGTTCAGTGGTGCTCTTTGTTTTCACCCCTAGATTCCATTTGTGCTGCTTAGTACTTAGCTTCATGGGGAAAGACAGGCTGTCTGCTCCTCTTACAGAGGTTCAGCCTGGGGAGCACGACACAGGGCCCCAGTGGGTCGGGATCCACTCGGCACCAGCAGGTTTTCTAGTGCCAATCTTTGTGTAGTGTTTTGACTCTGGAATGACTAATCTGAGGGCCGCTCAGAGATGCTGTTGTATGCTGGCTTGGGGGTCCTGCACCAGTAGTGGAAGCCCAACGCCCTGTTGCCATCCCGGCGGTCCCATCCATCTTTCTCCTGCTGGGGAATTTGAACTCGGACTTGGCAGTTAGCAATCCCACATTGGCCCGAAAGCACCACAGGGCTCCTTTGTCTATGTGTGGGGGACCTAGAAAGGGGACTGGGGGTGGACGAGCTTTCTCATTCAGCCCCTGGAGCTTAAAGCCCCCGTCACACTACTGTCTCACTGCACACATTCTAGATGTGTGAGCGTTTAACCTTGTTCTTGGTGAAGGCAAAGTGCTACCCCTTTAAAAGGCGTCCTTCCTCTCTGGCCCAGAACAGCCCCTCCTCTCTGCCTCTTTCCCAGCCTGTCTGATCCAAGTCAGTTTCAGATCACTGGCGGCTCTGAGGATGAGGGCCTGCCTTGTACACCGCTCTGCGGAGGCAGTACCTAGCGCATGGCAGGGCTGCTCGGGGCGAGGCTGGCACCCAACACTAAGGCCCTTCTCCGGAAGTTCAGATTCCACCCGCTCCAAGTGGGCCCAGGATGCACAGCTGGGCTGGAGAACACTGACTGTGTGACCTTGCTGCCTGGAGCTGCACTCAAGAATTTCTGGGGATCCGTGTGGAAGGTTCTCCCATTTGTGGACTGCCCTGGCGGGTGGCCCAAGAGGTCCCATCTTAACTGACCAACTCCTGTGCAGTCATGTCCTGGAGCAGCGGTTCACAACCTTCCTCATGTCGCAACCCTTTCATACAGTTCCTCATGTGGTGGTGACCGCCACCCGCAACCATAAGTTATTTTTGTTGCTACTTCCTGGCATTTTGCTACTGTTATGAATCGGGTGACCCCTGTGAAAGGGTTGTTTGACCCTCAAAGGGGTCTCAACTCACAGGTTGAGAACTGCTATCCCAGAGGAACACAACAGATCGGCACCCCTGCCCCTGGGAAGCTACTCTGGCTCAAGAGGGAAGCTGATACATATGGTCCAGTGAGGTGCTGCCAAGTGACCATCGGACAGACCAGAGCTGCCCGTGACCTTGTCTAGGGCATCCTCGGACAGAAGCAGATTGCTAGGCCAGGTCTCTGGCCCGAGGAGCAGCTGGCAGAGTCAGTCCACCCGTCACTGCTGGGGCTTTTTAGACTCTGACTGGTTCCTCGAGGGAGGCGAGCATGTGCAGGAAGCAGGGGAGGGTTTGCGGTGTTCCAGAGGGCGGGCCGTGTGGATAGTGTCGGTGAGAAGCGCATTGGAGCAGAGACTTGAACAGTGAGGAAGCAGGCCACACTGCACAGAGAAGCAGAGTGGCCAGAGCCTGAGGGGACAGCAGGGCTGGAGGAGCCGCTAGAGGCCGCGTGGTTGGAGTGGGGAGAGCGTGGAGAGAAGATTCATAGTGAGAGACGGGAACCAGGGACCAGACTGAGCAGGGTCTTGTGGGCCACTTTGTGTGTGCCCTTTGACCCGCGCATTGCACAGACCACTGGAAGGTTGTAAGAAGAGGAGGGATGTGACCTGACTTCCCTGGTAAAAGAGCCGGGGCAGTGGGGGCGGCCACACCAGGGAGCGGGCTGTGCTGAGGCTGGCAGCAGGGATTAGAGGAGAGTGGTTGGTTTTCAGATGTTTCGGAGCCCAGGCAGCACGGCACAGGGCAGTGGTTCTCAACCTTCCTAATGCCACAGCCCTTTAGTACAGTTCCTCATGTGGTGGTGGCCCCCAACCATAAAATTATTGTCGTTGCTACTTCATCACTGTCATTTTGCTACTGTTAGGAATCGGGCGACCCCTGTGAAAGGGTCGTTCGACCCCAGAGGGGGTTGAAAACCTCAAGGCACGAGGATTCGACAAGCTTGTAAGGAGCCATTTTAAGAACCCTGGTGGCCTCATGGTTACACGTTGGGCTGCAATCAGCAAAGTCCTCGGTTCAAAACCACTCAAAGGGATAAAGCCTGGGCTTCCCACTCCTGTAGCAGTCACAGGCTTGGAAAGCCACAGGGCACTTCTCCCTGTCCTGCAGGGTCACTACGACTCAATGGCAGGGAGCTTCTGGTTTGGTGGCATAATGCTTAAGGAAGGTTGGCAGTTTGAAGCTACCAGCGGCATCATGGGGGTAAGATGAGGCAGTCTGCTTTCCTACAGATTTGCAGCCTGAGAGCCCCTGGGGCACCCTACTCTGGTGGGCTACTGCAGCCAGAATCAGCCCCAGGGCATGCACCAGCAGCCCCTGGTGGGGGCAGCAGCAGCAGCTCTTTGGGCAGAGGGACTGGGAAGCAGGGCGGAGCGGCCACTAAGTATCCCTTTGTTCCTTCATCAAACAATGCCCGGAGCCTCAGCCCTGGTGGGATCTCTGGGCCCCTTATTAACCGGAGGCCCTGTGTTCCTACTTTTCCCCTCTCAGTTCTTCCTGCATGGCTCCGACCTGGACTCGCTTCACACGAGCCTTCCACGGAGCATCCTCCCCAAGGAGTACGGGGGCACTGCCGGTACACTGAACATCGCTGCCTGGAATGAGGTGCTGCTGGCCTCAGAGGAGGCCTTTGTGAGGGAGTTCTGCCAGCCTGTGACCACCTGCGGCAGCCTCCCGGAGGAGACCCTACAGCCGGGGAGGCTGGCCGCCGACGCGCAGTGTGACGACTCCCTGCGGGCCGTGAAGTCACAGCTGTCCTCCTGCTACTAGCCTGGGCGCGAGCCCTGTGCTCCTCCGAGGCACGAGGAGAGCCCTTGGTTACTCGGATTACTCCACGGAAGACTTGAAAACCACGTTCCAAGGGGCAACCCATTAACCTGGAAGCTGGGTCTGATGGCCAGGCAGCTCGAAGCAAGGCAAAATTGGGCCAAAGTCCCTCGGGCCCCTGGCAGTCAGCACGCTGCCCTGTGCGAGATGGTCACTCTGGACGTTGGGGGCCCTGGAGTCGACCCCACGTGACGGGATGGAACTGCCCTCCCGGCTGTCATCCATCCGGGTGTAGACCACCCGCCTGTCTTCCTCCTTTGGGAGTTTGGGTCTCTCGCATGAGTGTAACTGTTGAGCTCGGGTGCTCAGCAGGAAACTTCCAGTGTGAGATGCGGCCACTCACCTTCGGGCACCAGAGGGCCGGCCACTCACCTTCTGGCACCAGAGGGGAACCATACAAGTTTCCCCACCTGCACAGCATTTGCTGATCCAATTCAGGAGCCAGAGACTTGGAAGCCCCTCTGGGATTCACAGGCAGAACCTTGCAACAGAAAACTTAAGTTTCCCCAAACCCGTCAAGCCTTACCCCTGGTTTTCAATCGAACCAGGCAGGAAGTATATGATGATTTTACAACACCTGGAATACTGGATGGCAGGCCAATGTAGAATTCTGGCCTAGGAATGAGATGCAGATGTGTGACTTTGGACAAGACACAGGCCTCCCAGCCTGACCTTTCTCATCTGTAAAATGAGGTGGGCTGAAGGGTGACTGGGGCCCATCTGGCTGCTTCTGAGACTGGGCCCGTGACTGAGTGGTGTCTGACCCTGGTTCCCTGCCTCGAAGATCACCTAGAGTTGCAAGGGGGGGTGGGGGGCGCGCTCCTGTTTTCTGGGTCACATCGCAGGCCTTTCTGAGAGGGATGTGGCACTATGTAGCTCTGTCCTTACAGAAGCTGAGGGCGGCAACCCCGGGACTTGCCTGGTGTGGTGATGGGTAGACTTGGAGAGGATTGCTTTTGTGAAGGTCTAAGAGGGCAGGTGAGATGGCCAAGCTCCCGGGTGGACTCTCTCCAGCCTGATGCTCTGTTGCTATATTGTAAGCCTGGCAATGGGGCATGGTCTCCTTGTGTGGGATTCTTAAATAGAGATCTCTGGAAATGAACTTGAGGCCAGGTGATTGCTGGGGCACTTCTGGGACCATCAATCCCCCTTCCAAAACCTACCATGGACTCACCCTCCAGGTGGTGGATAGACAGACGTACATGGGTCCAGCAAGCCTGGATGTCTGCTGTTTCAGCACTTTAGAACCTCCTGTCAAGAATCGCCCTGTCGCCCAGGCATCCAGTCTGGTGGGCCAGCTGATGGCTTCGACCTGCTTCGCATTCATTCCATGGATATATGTCCGGTGTTAATGGAGTGATGATACTCACATCATGATCCTCCTCTGTGCAGTCATTAAGATTTAGCAGGCCGCGTGGGCAGAGACACTACTACAAAATTCAATGGCCAGTCTGTTAATACCAAGCCATTCATATTTATAGCAATGTTATTATTATTTTTAAGCCTGGAAAGGGTGGTGGTGGGAATTCATTGACTGACTGTATCCGTGCCAATCCTAGGGAAAGCTCTTCTCACCCTGGATAGGGCCCTGGGTCCTTCAGGGCTCTGGCTGGACTGCAAGGGCCACCATGCACACCCGACTGCTTCTAGTTCCCTCCGACCTTGGTAGTGTGACCCATGGTGGGTGGCACCTCACTGCAGGAAAGGCCTGGAGGAGAGTGGGGTGGCTCAGCTAGAGGGTTCCAAATCTGTCTACATAGGAAAACCAGCTTTCTTAGGCCCCAAGAGAGGCTAGAAACTTAAGAGTGGGGGGAGGGAAAGTAGGAATAGAGAAATGGTCCACTCACGTGCCCCCCCCCGCCCCCACTTTTCAGAGGTTAAATTCTACCATTGTGCCCCTGACAAGTTGTGTCTGTGAGTTAACGCTTTTGTGACCGATGGGACAGAAAGTACCCACCTACAGTTTTCCACCTCTGGGGTTTAATGGGAAGCTGCTATCCCACTTTTCATGTACACTGCCACAGAGGGGAAGGGCTATCTAACCATGGGATGTGAAGAAATGGACCTCATCCCACTCACCTGCACACCAGAGACCACTCAGGACCTGTGTGTTCCACTCATTGTATCAAAATCCCACTTACCTCAAAAACATTTTACCCCATTTCACTCAAAACTCCTTCCCTGACTAGAAAACACAAGGTTTCAACAAAACATTCCAAACAGAAGACAACTTGGTCTCAAAAGGGCTCACAAAGGGCCAGCCACACTCGCCTGGAGAGATCAGCGGGGTGCTGCTGCGAGTCTCAGGCCTCCAGCCTGAGCAGGAAGGAGTCAGGCTGAGCAGCAATCAAATCAGTCCAGCACTGCAGGAAGTTTGGACCAGGTTGCTCAACAAGGGCCTCTGGGGGGGAAATGAAGGCCCTCACCACATGGGGTTGGTATAAAATGGCCTTCCAGGAGAGCCCCACCTCAGTGAACCTCAGGAGCAGCCTGGGAATGTCTGCAGGGAGAATTTCCGGCCGAGTTTAGAAACACCTAGAAATGCGGTTTCCCCTAAATACAAGGCAGTGGGGTACTGGGAGAAGCAGGCTTGTAAACGAGGAGAGCTGGGCTCCCATCTTGACCTTGCTCTGTGGCCCTGGGGAGTCACTCAGCAGCCCGAGTCACGAGGGATGACACAAGGATCTCAAGCCCTGGGCTCGGAGACCCCAGGGCACTTGACAGCCACAGCAATGGTGTCCCTTGAAGCCACCCTCCCTATCTGCATTGCACCAAGGGAGAAACCGCCCTGGAACGTCCACGTGAGCCAGTGACACCGGCGTCTTCCTCCCTGTCCCCATGATGCCACACACAATTCCCTACACGTGTGCCTCTTCCTGGACGATGCGGAGAACGGCCCTAGTACAAACCCCAGCTCCATCCCTGAACTCACTTGCCCACGTCTCACCCCGCCTGCACCGACTCCCTCCTCCTGAGGGGTTTGCCAACTGAGTCAGCAGTAAGGCATCCAGTGCGGATTCCTGTGTGCCAGCCTTCCAGAACTCAGCGTTGGGCAGGGTCTGCGAATGCTGATTCTCGGCTCCCTCACTGGGGAGTGGAGTGCTGATACCGTTGTGGCATTATTACAATGACTCACTTTGAACCACCTTTTAAGTAAGATTTTCCTTTGAAACACTTTTTTCCCCCTTAAGGTGTCGGTTAAGCGAACTCGTGACCCTGTGGGACAGGGAAAAAGAAGCCCAACCCAGCCGTTTCCTCTCAATGGTTGACATTAGGGTGTACTTGGTTTCACCCATGTTGTCCAATAGCCCCCACATAATAGGAGCTGCATTACAAGAGGACTTGTCTTCTGGGGTAGTGGAAGGTTAGGCATTACAGTTCTTCACATCTCAGACCAAAGTTGGCAATAAACACTGCACTCCAGAAGCACCCACAAGCAGGCCGACGCTGTAAGGGTGGCTAGGGTGTGGCTTGATGGCATCACCCCACACGTACTTGGCTGTTTCTCCTTCCAGTGTGCAGGGACACACTGCCCGCTGGAGACAGGGCAGGTCCTCCTGGGGGCGGTGGCTGGTGTACTGGTGATGAATCACAGGATGTTCATTTTTCTTGTTGCTTCTGATGATGCAAAAATCCAAACAATGCCGCCTAAGCAGCTCTTCAGTCAGCCGTGTCTGAGGGAGTCACAGCAGGATGCTGAAGCTGTGTGCCCGTGGCTCCTCTGGGAGAAGAAAGGGTGCCTACATCTCCAATCCTTCCCACCACAGGGGTGTCCCGAGAACCAAGAAGGCTCCCTTATGCCCTAGAGTTATTTTCCATGTTCTGAGTCAGCACGTACTGGTTTGTTTTCTAGTTTTCTCCAGTGCTCTCTGGCCATGGCACCGGTCGATAGTCCTTCAAGCCTGTGGCAGCAAATGTCTGTGGTGCCTCCTGTCTTTCCAGGACAACAGGGACTGATGGAACGGGAACTCTGAAGGCAGTCCTGGCTCTCCTTAGCCTCTTCCCAAGTGAGGTTGGCGGAGCACTAACTTCGCTACCCCTCAGTCCGACCACACAAAGGGAGAGAATCGTTCCTACCTTACTACGGTACTGCTGGCTCGCTGGCTACTTGTGGGCAAGTGGCTGTTTATGTGGTACAGATTGTTACTCTTCACCTGGCAGCTTAGGCCTCCTGTGGCTTCAGTCCAGGACATCAAAGCTGACTGATCCGGGCTCCTCTAACAAATGAGCAAAAAGCAGCGGTGAGCAGCGGTTCCTAAAAAGCAGAAGCTTGTTATCTGAGATCTGCATCCAAAGGAAAAACTGCCATCAAGCAATGGCTTGCCATGGGAGGGGAAAAAAAAATAGACCCTGGTCCAAATGTTATACTTTGGTCTAGAACATTAAAAGCACTGACAACCAAACCATGGTCATTCTTGGCCCGTCTCAAAATAAATTTTGTTTCCCAACTCACTGAGGGTCCAGTAAGACCAACCCTCTGGCATGGGCCTACCGGAATGCTTCCAGCTGAAGCTAGGGACCAGCTGTTGCCTTTGATGTCCCCCAGAGCACCAGCTGGCCTCTGAGCCAGGGAGCTCACACTGACAGCTCATCGAAGATGGGATGAGTCGAAACACTGCCCTGCTTTGCCAAATTTGGTCCTGACCTTGCTCAAAACGCTGGCCAAGTAAAACAAGACCTTTTCTGCCTGGTGTAAGATTGGGCTTACTCCCAATAGGCAGGCTTTACCCATTCTTAACCACCAAGCAAGCAGGCACACTGCCCCCTTAGTACCTCTTAAGAAACTGTAACTTTAGAGTAATATTGAAGTTATCATGAGAAAAAAAATAAACACTTTATTCAGGTTTTTATTACATGTATTTTACAGGTTAGAATTACATTAATTTTGAGTTACAGGAAGCTGGGGGTGCAGGGTGGAAGTACTATGTGTCTTGTAGCTGAGGACTTGTAAAGTCTTCACCTGACTGGTCCTGCTGCTGAGGAGAGGGGGCCTCTGGGTCCACAGGGGTCAATGCAGAGCTCCAGTTGCGGCCAGCCCCGCAAATGTTGTGATGCTTCCACTCTGGACCCTGACACCATTTACTGGCTTCAAAAACTTGGTTCCAGCAATGCATTATTAAGCCCTGCTTCTCAGGCCCTGACCCACTCCTGCCTGCTCTCGGCCCTGTCCCACCTCCCACCTCTTCAGTTCTCTGAGGAACAGCTTGACTATAGGCTCCATCCAAGTCTGGCCAAACATCTTTGCCCTTTAATACTGTCGTGTCTCATTTTTGCAAATATTGAGAAGAGCAGCCTCGCCAGAATGCTTAGTGTGACCCACTTGGCAAATTTACTCAAAGCCATAGGTTCCCGTAGGCTTACCAAACGTCCTTTAACTTTAGGTTAAAGAAACAAAAAAGACGATTCAGTCTGCAATGAAACACTTCTGTGCTCGAGCCTGTAATCCAGGATGGTGTCGGCATCTGCTTCTGTAGCACCCCCCCCACCCACCCAATCAGTCCAGTGTCCCCCAGGGAATGAGATCACCAACTTCAGGAAACAGGGCTCGAAGCCATCGATTGTACAAATGAAGGCAACACCGAGGTTCAAGCCCAAGCAGTGGGCACTCAATAAATATCAGCCGGCCAGTCCAACAGCCAGACATTGGGTACGCTGGATGCAGTCCCTGCTATACCACTCTTAAGACCGCCGCCACCCGAGTGTCCTTCTGCTCCTAAATAAACGGAACACCGACTGCCTAGGCGCTTAGCCCAGCATCACCCCCTAATCGACCTCCCCCCATGCATCTGATCAATTGCCGACTTTGAGTATGCTCCCTTTGGCCGGTCACACAAGGTCTACACTCAAGTGTGGTTTTAAAATCCCTCCATAATCTGGTCTCTGCCCACTTCCCCGTTCTAGCTATACTAACCCCCGCCCCCAATTGCCCTGCCTTACACACCCAGCTTCACCTGCCCGTCCGACACATTCCCACCCCCAATTTGTAACCGTTCTTGCTTTTGAGGTCCCTCCTGCAGGAAGCTTACCGTGACAGACTAGGCACCTCTCAGTCTTTAAGTCTACAGACTTTCATTTCTAAACCCTCACATGAATGCCACCACACTGTCTCCTCTCATGTCTGCTCGGCACTCTCAGTCCAACATGGCAGACGGTGCCGTGTGTGCTACCCTCAGAGCCTCACCGTGCCTGATGCAGGGAAGACACCCAAGTAGTCTTTTTGTCTAGAGAGCAGCAAGGCACGCTGCCCTTCGCAGATGAGTTTCATGACGGTCCCTCTCGCTTCTCATCCACCAAGACAACAGTGAGTGCAACTTTCGGTGACGCCCATGTTACTTACAAAGCAGCTCTTCCACGGCAGACAGAATGGACCGACTGGCTAGGCGCTCAACAACCCTCCTGTCCCTTACAATCCCATCAATACACAATGGCTACTGATTCCAAAAACCTACTTAAAAAAGGGGCTTTAAGCTTAAAGTCTTTCCATTTTAATCAAATATCTTTAGAGTGCAAATGTAGTAAATCCACATGCATTTGATTTTTACAGACTCATAACCAAAGAATTACAGACTGGCAGTGCAATGCTTTCCCAGGGAGCTCTTCACTAACCCGCCCACAAAGTGTCTGGGGACAGGAGCATACTTAGCAAAGCCATGAACTCAAATCAAGCAGCACCGATGCCACAGTGTTTTTTGTTTTTTTCTAAATTAAAGACTCAAAATGTAAAGTAGCAGCCACCTGGCAACCGCTCTTTTGGGGACAGGGGAGCTCTCCTGCCCTCACACTCCCAAGTGTACGCAGGGAGAGCTTTCAGAGAACACGTGCCAGATAAATGCTTTCTGAAGGGTACTACCATAGAAATATATTACTGATAGCCTCAAATACCCAATATTTGTCTATCTTACATTTGAAATCATAGCAGTAGGAAACCTACAGATCTAGAATAAAGAACTCTCTTCACAGCACAGCTGCAGTTCATGTTAAAATGCAAAACCTTTCTTTCTGTACAATAGCCTTACAAACAGACACACTGTACAACGCAGTGAAAAGCTAAGATCCCGGATCAAGCACTACTCCATCTTGCCATCTGACGTAAACGGGGACATAGTCACTGAATCTTGTCACTGAAGCAACGATAAAAGGGACATGAGCTTTCAGCAGGAGACCTTTATGAATCGCAGGGGTCTTGGTGGCACTCAGGTTCAGCTGAAGTCCCGACCGGTGAGGACGAGGGGAGCCACAAGGCTCCAGGTGTACAGGAAGAGGCAGACCCAGCTGGAGCTGATCTTGACCCACACCGCTGGCCACTTGCTGGTCATGGTTTGGAACTCCGCATCCGGGCTGAGAAAAGAGTGTCAGGTAATGAAGGCAGATATAGGACAGCAATCAGCAACCCTTGGCCAAAGCCGAGGGCAGCAACTGGCATGATTTCCCATGAAGGATGGCCACACAGAAAATTGAGAAACAGGAGTGGACCAGTTCACTAAAAAATCAACATTCTCATTCTTTTTCATTCTCATATTTATTCTTTTATTTTCTCTCTCTCTCTCTCTCATTAAGAGCCTAAGAGCCCAGGTGGTGTAAGTGTTATGCTGTGTCTGCAAGGTCAACAGTTCAAAACCACTAGCAGCTCCTCAGGAGACAGGATTTTCGAGTCCCATTAACAATCAGTCTCAGAAACCCGGGGGGCACCTCTATAGGGTGGCTATGAGTGAGTTTGGTTTTGTGGGTAATAAGACCGGTCTGAATGAGTGCCCCACGACTGACATTCCAGCCGGCCCTTAGTGCCTTTCAGGTCTGGAAGGGAACTCACTCTGATGGCTCAATTTCCAGTGGAACAAGACAGGCTTATAAGGGGAACACCACCACTAGGGAGATACACACGCCTTACAACAGTCAACTGTTTCAGGGCAAAAGGGCAGCATGTGCCCAGGGACAAAGTTCAGAGGGTTAGGAAACACCTGGAGGAAGGGGGCTAGGTGATGTTCACAATGGGAGGACTGCCACTGATGCCATGAAGTAAAACGCATATGAATTGAAACGGATGTGCTCTGCACACCTTCACCCAGCCCACAAGTAGAAAACAGCCAACCCAGTGTCACCTGCAAGTACTGTGCTCCTTAAATAAGCCCATCTGTGAGACCGAGTCAGCACTTACTCTACAACCAAGCTGAAAGGCCAGGGAGGGGAGAGGAGTCTGATCCGTGGAAGCAGAAGAGCCACCACGAAGAGGCAATAACATTATGAAAAAGCTCATCACTTTATGGCAAAGCTTGTTTGCTCCCGTCAAGTTGGTTCTGACTCTCAGAGACCCTGTGGGGCAGAGCAGAGCTGCCCATGTGAGCGTCCGAGGCTGTCAATCTACGAGAGCCTCTTCGTTCTCCCACAGATCAGATGGTGGGCATGAACTGCTGATAACCATGCAGTTAGAAGCCCAAATTGTAACCCAGCATAATGCCAGGGCTCCTCACCATGGTTCAAATAGTTTAGAAACGGTTAAATAGGAGGCTAATTTTCTATGTAAACTTTCACCTCCAAGAGTTTCATAAAGAATCCGGATAGGTTTTAAACGGAGGCGAAGACAAAGGACTGTTTCAGAAGAGCCAGCACTGAACCCGTTAAGAATAAAGGATCCGGGGGACAGGACCACACACACGGAGATTTTACAGAAAGCCCAAGAGGTCGGCCGGTGGTTTTGTCTGTGACCCTACCTGTACCAGTTGGTCAGGGTCATCATGATGTGCAGGGAGGCCAAGCAGAGCATGAGGTGGAAGAAAGAGTAGCTGTACTGCACTCCCTCCTTTTCATTGTCCACAGCTCGCCGAGGGTGTCCATCTTCTTCATCGTTGCCACCACTGGCAGCTGTGTCATTGAGGATCACGCTGTCACTCCCAGACAAAGTCAACTTGCTCACTTGGCTTTTACTGGAATTGCGAATGCTGAAAATGAGCCGAAGATGGGTGAATCAGAAAGGGACCATGAAGATGAACGGCTGCCTCTGGCCTGACTTAAGGTTTTTATTTTGAGCTGTTCCTACTTAGGGACTGAAAGCTGAAGGGTTTATGAAGGCCCTGCTTAAGGTCCTGGATATTGCTCTGTCACAAGACTCTCCCCTAAGCTACTCCATGAGAGCGTAATTATCTAGGAGTCCCCACAACACACACTGTGCTCTGATGCCCAGGCCCAAAGCCTCAGTGTCTCTCCTATGCTTAGTATGGAAGAGCTCTGACCCCAGAAGCTACGAAACTCATCCTTAAATTCTCTATGTGGCATTTCTTCTAGAAAACTCTCCCTGGCTTAGGAGACACTCCTCAAATCCCCAGAGCCCCCTCTGCCACCACACTCATCATACTGAGTCTCTCTTGCTATGCAAAGAACTCCTGAAGTCATCCAGGTATGTCTAGCACAAGGAAGACATTCAGTAAAGGTGTGTTAAATGTCTATCTGGACAAAATGCAGAGAAAGGACAGTATCTAACAATTGTCTAATAGTCTCAGAAAAAAACTTTCGGCAAAACCCAACACCCTTTCATGCTAGAAACAGGCCACAAACAAGGAACAAAAAGGAACTTTCTCAGCCTGATCAGGACGTCCCTGGAAAAACCCACTCCTAACAGACTGTGGGGGAAGCCTGAATACTCTCCCTCTAAGGTCGAGAAGAAAAGACCAGCATCTGCTCTCCACTGTGCTGGAGGCTCCTGGTAAGGAAAGGAAACCATGAATCCCAGGCTGCGGAATCCACAGAGACAGACTAGAATACGGGCTCCGAGGGGAGCACAGCGGGGGGCTGATATTAGGGACTTCAAGAAGGAAGACAATATTTTGAAATTGATTATGGTAGCAATTGTACAACACTGCTTGATGTGGCTGAACTATGGAATGGAATGATGTTTGGATTAGCTCCTAATAAAATGTTTGGAAAATAAGTAAATAAAAAGAAAACAAAAGGAATTCAGAATGAAAAGATGTAAAACGGTATTTGTAGATTACCTGATCTTGATTATAGAGAAAATCTAGCAATTAATAATCCAAAAATTAAAGAACAATTCCATTTATAATAGTTTCAAAAAATTCTTGGGAATAAATCTAACAAAAAGTAAGACTTGTAGACTGACACCTATACAACACTGGAAGAACTAAAGACCACCTAGCTGGATGGAGGACAAAAGACTAGACTTTCTATTCCCGGGCAACCCACTGGGTAGTTGTACCCTGTCCCATAGGGTAGCTACGAGTTGGCATCAACTGGATAGCATTGAGTTTGGGGGCTTTGTTTTTTGAGAAACTAGATGGAAAGACAGCCCATAATCATGGACGAGAAACTTGAATATTGCTCAGATGGCAAAACTTGTAAAAATCTAGATTCAGTATAATGCAGTATGGGTATCAACTGGCAATCCTGGCTACCTGTGGGTTGACCAGATGCTAGCTTTTAATGTAGACAATCCTGCAGTTGTTCAAATATCCTCTCCAATGATCAAGAGCCTTCATGAGAATCTTAATGTAAGCACATTTAACTTACCTAGAATACACAATGCAGATAACAGAGACTCCCAGCCCCATGCAGCTCTGGATATCCAGGTAAGGCCCACTATTTGCTAATGGAGCAACTGTAGGGCTTGGAGTAGATGAATTCCCAGGGGCCGAGGCTGACGCAGTGATGTGTGTGATGATGCTCAGCAGGCTGGGTTTGCAGGAATCGTCTGGAAACAAGAAGTGATGCTTTATTCATGAGCCTGGTTCTAGCTCATCCCATTCCACCCAAGGGGGGGACGGGGTGGTCTGGATGGTAAACAGGACTATCATACTCAGCAGTCAGTCCCCTGTTTGTGGTGGACCCAGTGACTGTAGAAGTGAAAAAGCAACGGCCTAACAGCAGACTGTCCATCAAAGCGCCAGGACCCCGCTCTTAATGTCACTGGGTGCATGGTCTCACTGGTGGGTTCTGGTTCGGCCAAGGCTTGAGCCATAGTGTCTCCCGAGTTTCATTTGCACAGTTAGAAGGGACACACTGAATATGAAGTGATCACTGGAGGCTCCATAACCATTTACTTTTAAAAGGGGTCCATAGAACATGCTGAGAACCCATGCTACGTTTCTACAAAAGGAGGGTACCTCCAACTGTTTCTCTTGTGCCTACAATGAGAGCAACACTACCAAAGGGCTACAGCAACTCTTAACTAGTCATGCTGAATCCAGGAGCAGAAAGGCTAGGCCACGCGTCACCTGTGAATGGGCATGGGCATGAAACTGGAAAGGTATCTGTGAGCACGCAGACACAAGGTACAGATAAGTGGTCTTTGTTTTGTTTGCCTTCCTTTAAGCCAGGGGTCCTCAAACTTTTTAAATAGACCCGTTGGAGGGCTGGACTATAGTTTAAAAAAAAACTATGAACAAATTCCTATGCACACTGCACATATCTTATTTTGAAGTAAAAAAACAAACAGGGCAAAAACACCCAGCGGGCCGGATAAAGAAATGTCCTCGGCGGGCCGTAGTTTGAGGATCTCTGCTCTAAGCTCTAGTTTTTCACCCACGCAACGGGCAGTGTCCTACCTTTTGTTCATCAAATACATGTGCTATTGAATTCCCTTACCAGGTTCACTGGACATGGCTGACAAGGTGAGGAACATGGTGTAGAGGGTGATGGAGGAGGACTGCAGGAGGCCAGAATGAGGCTGGTGTTCCTGCGGAATCCAAAGGAAGACAATGTCCCAGGGAGCGCAAGGAGTGGTTTCTCCAGTGAGCTCAGCATTCAGCGGGCAGATAACAAATGGTTTGCTGTTTTTTTGTTCGACTGGGAAAGAACCAGGCTCTATTGGCTCTCGAGGCATTTCCGAACCTGGAGGTACCTGTGCATCCCACAGGGCGTTCATGTGCTCATCCCTTCATGTGGGGGGAACAGTCTCGGTGTCTGGTCTTGGGGTGTCACTACTAGGTGACCAGTGCTCCGTCGAGATCTCCATTTTCATTTGTCAGAGAAGTGATGGTAGCTGTTTATTTCTAAAGCTCAGGTGACACTCAAGAGCATGGACTCTGTTTCCAGACACCAAAGCCAACTGTTTTCACTCGATTCCCCTCTGTCACCAGGGCTCCTGAATCATTCCCATGGGTTAAGTACTTCCTACGAACTCTAAAGTCTCAAGTCACTGGGGCGGTGAGCCAACGTTAATGAAAACCCATTCGTAAGGGAAATGATGCAGCAAGTAACCTTACCTGGACTTTCGGATGAATGGATATGACAGAAACCACAATGCACAGGACCAGATTAATGGTGATGAAGCACTTGTTTTCCGTGCAGCCATCCGGCTTGGTGAAGTAAACGTAGAACAGCACAACAAAGACGAACGACAGGAGGTAAAGGAAGCTGGTGGCAGACAATAAAGCTGTGGAGGGACAGAGAAACCGACCTGAATGCCCGTCACGGCAACACAACTACCGCACACATCCGTGAATCAGCCGAGGTCTTCAGCACATTCTTATGCTAAAATTAGGTGCCTCAGCTGATATTTGGATCGGCTTATACTCGAGTATATAAATGTTTACAATGGAGATTAGCTTTCTTCTACTTTACATGAAAATAGAGGCATAATTTCACTTTTCGGCAGTCAATAATTTACGGTGACGTCACAGGAATCCCCCAGTTGAAGTTTCAGGTTGCATGAGGAGTTGGCTCAATGTTAAACTCCAGAATCCACAAAGTTCCCATCCTGGATCACTTACTTGGCTTAAAGGGTTGGGTAGACATTTATAGTGATAGAGACTATTATAATAGTCATGACCAACAATGTACGTAACCCACGTTACTGTGAGAGTTCTGACACACGGGAAGCCGATGTTCAACAAAACAGAAAACTGCCAACTCCGGCACCATCCTGGGACTCACTGTGAAGCCTGAGCCCACTGTTGCAGCCACTGTGTTAATCCATCTTGTTGGAGATCCTCTTTGCCAGCTAATCCTCCTCTACCAAGCATGAGGTCCTTCTCCAAGGACTGGTTCTTCCTGATGCCGGGCCCGGTGTGGGTGCGCCGATACCCCACCATCACCATTTTAACATTTTATTAGGGGCTCATACGACTGTTATCCCAATCCATACACACATCAATTGTGTAAAGCGCATTTGTACATCGTTTCTCAAAACATTTTCTCTCCACTTAAACCCCGACATTAGGTCCTCATTTTCGCCCTCCCTCCCCGCTCCCCCCTCCCTCATGAGCCCTTGATAGTTTATAAATGGGTATTTTGTCATATCTTGCCCATCTTCCCATCTTAGGGACATGCTGGCTGTACTTCTTCCAAGACCACCTATTCTTCTCAAAGTACGTATCTACTCAATATTCTCTAATATCATAATTCAAAGACATAAATTTTGTCTTCCTCATTCCCCGTCTAATTTTTGCATGTATCTAATGAAACTGAAGATGCCATGGCTTGAGGCAAGTCCACCTTAGTCCTCAAAGTAGAGATCTTCTGTGAGAGGTGTGCCCAGTGCAATCCATCACGCGTGTTGTGAATCCAAGTAAACTGAGATCCTTGACAACTTCAACACTTTGTCGTCATACTGCTTACTGTCCCAGATGTCAGGATTTGTTTTATTTTCAGGTGTCATTCATACTGAAGGATACAATCCTTGATCTTCATCACTAAGTGCTTCTCATCCTCTTCCCTTTCAGTGAGCAAGATTGTGTCCTCCGCATACACCAGATTATTAAGACTCTTCCTCCAAACCCAAGGCCAGCTTCTCCGATTTTTCTAGAATTCCTACTCTTTATTATGATCCACAGTCGAACAGTCGCACAGTCAGTAAGACACAGCTAAGCGCATCTTTCCCGTATTCTTGGTTTTCATCCAAGACCCGTCTAGCATCATCAATGACCTCCTTCATTCCACATCCTCTTCTGAACCCAATCTGAATTTCTGGCAGTTCTGTTATGCACTTCTGCAACCTTTTACAAATCATCTATTACATACTTGGTATGATGGATGTATTACAATATATGTAAGAGGCCCCAACGATTATATATTTTAAAAAATCATCTATCAACATTTTAGCTGCACGTGATTATGTCAACATCTGTGGCGTTGCATCTCTTTGGAGTGGATACAAATAAGGATCTCTTCTAGCTGGCTGGCCAAGTATCTTCCTCCCTAATTTCTTGATTTAGAGGAATGAATGCTTACTGTTTGTGGAAACATCTCAATTAGTAATGCCAATTCTCGGAACCTTGGGGGTTTTTCGCCCATGTCTTTAGTGCAGCTTGGACTTCATCCTTTAATACCAACTCTTAATCATACACTGCCTCCTGAAATGGTTGAACATCAACAAATTCTTTTTGGTACAGTGACTCCGTGTATTCTTTCCATCTTCTTTTGATGCTTTGTGGAACATTCGTAATGTGCTCACAGGCTCTTTCAACAGGAGTCTGGAAATACCCCCACCCCCCGGCTTTTTTTCAACTTGGCTAAATAAATTATGGTACATCCAGTCTACGGACAACTTGTCAAACGCACGATTCACTCACTGGCATGGAAGAATAGTCACCATATGAGGTGTAACTAGATCATTGCCTCTAATGAGCACAGGGTCCAAAGTCCCTCTCAATCACTAAAAAGCATGTAAGTCTTACTCCCAGCCTAGATTCTAAGTGCTCTTAACCAGTCAGTAGGACACTTAGGAGATTTCGGGTCACACTCTCAAAATCCAACCAACCAGAGCTTCTCCTCACTCTCTGCCTGAGATAGCCCCTATGTAGAATCCATCTGTGTCCCCCACCCATGGAGACAAGGTACTCAAAACAAGGACTATACCAGTCAATGACAATTTAAAAACTCCCTTTCTTGATCTAAAAAGGCATCTAATTAAATCCCAAAACAAATGATTGGAAGAAAACAACTTCGAATTGACTCAGGTTTGTGTTTTAAAAGCACTCCATAAGGGGGGGGTGCACATAAGCCATCAACAGGTCTCGCTGGATGTTTACTCTCGCCGAGTTGAGGTACCTACCGGCATACCAGCACCTTGGGTTTCCTTCTTCCATTTTATTGACCCAACTCTCATTCCAAGAGTGAACACAATCCACCAACAGCATCAGCTGGATAAGGATGAAGACGAAGGCCCCCGCCATGCCAATAATGAACCAGGCTACAAACCAAGAGAACAGAGTTATTCTTTAGCACAGGAGTCACATTTCAGGATCATCTTTGGTGGCTTTTTTAAATAAGCCTCTTTACTGGTACTGGTAGGGTCAGGCACAAGGTGTTCCCATGAGCATAAAGCCTGGCAAGGCCTCCTGGGCTAAAGGGGCAGGGCAGTAGTGCTGGGGCAGGCTCAGAACCTGGCCTTCCTGGTAAACACATACTTCTGACACTTGGGGACAATATAAAAATTATGATACAAAACTCAACAAGGGAAAAGCATAAAAGCCCTATGGAGCCACCCCTCACCCTGGTCACCTGGCCTCAGGGCATGGGACAAGGGGCCCAGGCCGTACTATGTACCCCAAACCCTGAGATGGCTGTCAGGGGCACCCTGTGAATCCTGAGCAAGCCCCCTCTGTGCCCTCCACCCTGTCATTGGGACTGTAACAAAGAGGTGATGAGACATTTCAGAATCTTATTGTCTAATACTCTAAAGAGACTTAAACTCAACTGAGAACAGTAAGGACTGATTCTGTCTCCACAAGAAGAGCAAGAGTGTCCTGCGGGGTTTCTTTTTTTTTTCCCCTGCTGGGTTTCACTTTTTAAATTTTGTTTTAGCTTGTGCCAAAGGACATTCCAAATGCTATTAACAGCTTGTCTTTTACTTGAGAGGAGGGAAATCGGTATGGAAATCCACAGACATCACTCGATGCCATGTTAAAGCAAACAGGTTAAGCCAAGAGTGGAATGCAAGAATTGCCAGTCCTTAGCTTTTCAAGCTCTGTACTTAGCACTGCAAGTGAGCAGGCAAACTTCTACAACACTAGTGAAAGTGTAGCATACAGTGCCAGCAAAGCTGAGCAGTAGGGGGGGTGCATACCTCTTGGCATTAACCCATCCCTTTAGTACCAAGTCACAGAGCTGGATAGCATGTCATGTCACACACAGTACTGCAATATCAGCAATGAAAGCATCGTTTAATCCCATCACTCACACAACCTACAGATCAGTGGTCCTCAACCTTCCTAATGCTGTGACCCTTTCATATAGTTCCTCATGTTGTGGTAACCCCGAACCATAAAATTATCTTTGTTGCTACTTCATCACTGTAATTTTGCTATTGTTATGGATCGGGCGACCCCTAGGAAAGGGTCATTCGACCCCCACAAGGGTCATGACCCACAGGTTGCGAACTGCTGCTCTAGATTCCATTGTTAACTCCCCAAATACTGAATCGTACCTGTGGTGAAATGACCGCCAGGAATGTAGAAAGACCCAACCATGACCCCAATAAGGGCGGCGATTTTGAAGAACCAAAACCTATGAAACACAGAAGAGTGCTTTTCTGAGACTGAGAAAAAGTAATTTCTGAAATTCAGAAGTGAAGCCTAATAGCATACCAGCATGATCAGGCTTATTTCTCCTGGTGA